TCCGTGGCCGGACACGGAAAAAAAAAAAAAAAAAAAAAAAAAAAAAAAAAAAAAGGACATACAAAATTTGTAAAGATCTAGCGTTTTGGCAGGAATCCTTTTACTCTTCTGCCAAAGCACTTCTCCAAACCCCACAAAGCAGAAATGCACCACTGAATCTCACAATCAAACACCATATTTCATCTGGTACTATCTCAAGTTCTATTCCTTATATGCCAAAAATGACTTCCCACTCCCAAGCTCGCAACAAACATCGAGAAGCTGAGCCCTGCCTTTTACACTGCACATGCTCATTTTACCATTTGCTGAAGTTGTTTTACAAAACTGTATGATATGTAATATTGTTATGCTCAAACAAATCCAAACGTGCTATGTCAGTAACAGAATCTATGTATCAAATAGCAAAGCATTACTATGTAATGCTTTTAGAGTCACATAAAATCTAGATAGAACCCAATACATATACTGTCACGGCCATGTGATTTTCAAGTATTATTTGTTTGCATAAGGAATCAACCTGAGATTTTTCTAAACTTCACTTCTCTAGCATTCAGTATTAAAACCTTCATTCAATACAATAAAAGCCAACAACTTGACAATTATTGGAAAAAAATTATATTTTGGAAGAACTCACTACATAAGGTGACAGGATTCCAAAATCAAATTACATGAAAATATACATCGCAATTTCTTTGTACAATAGGTGAGAAAAATCTGCAGTATAGTAGAGGCAAAGAAATATGAAGGACTCAGGAGAAGGATAGGGAAAACAGCATTTTTAATAGCAAACCCAGAGGTTAAGTAGAAAGTCTGTAGCTGTGCATGCTTTATTTATCCAACCTTAACATTAGGCAGCTAAAGGGCAAAAATAAAACCAAATCAGAATTTTGTATTGTTTAGGGTAAAATTTCAATAAGTTCAATTCAGAACCAACTCTTTTCAGTTTTCAGGGGTTATGACTGGGTTCAAGAGCTCTCAATAGCCAAAAAATATTATTGCTACATCCAATCCAAGATATGGGTGCAATCAGAATACAAAAAAGGACAAAGCACCTAGTGATGACCACTCCTCTGAAGTCATCATTTAAAATCAAGTAATTGCTTATTAAGTATTTCAGTATTTAAACTAACTTTCTGGCAGAAAGAAGAGATAAAAGCAAAGGGGAGTGTGTGAAAACAAAGAAGATGCCAAAGTTTAGTAAGTGAAAAAGAGTTTAATGAAGCCTCAATGGTTTAAAGGAAATTAAATGAGAACTTTTAATCCTAATTGCTTTTCATCTGACATGCTTTAAGGAAGTCTTTTAAAACTGGTAAGAAACAATGAATACGGAAAGAAAACCTGCTAAGATCTTTTAGGATTTACACGATTCTTATTCTACTACAAGAAAGCATTATTTGGTACAAGGTGTATTTGTGGATGTACATGAACAGTATAGTATATATATTATCCGGATCATGTTGTGCTATGTACAGGTCTTTACAATTCTTCCTGAAGGTTAAAACAGTTCATTAGAATTCAAAATGCGTAATCATCTGTAAGTTGGCACTTGTTAGGCTCTTTTCAGCATTGATAACTGGCATGTTTTATTGCAGCCCAGTTCCAGCCAGTGTTTGCCAACTTGTTACAACAGAAGTCCAGCAATAGGTGGGTAGAGTGCAGGAAAAACAGTGCCATGTTTCTCAATTGAAGACCTACAACAACAACAAAAAAACCCCAACATTATATGATGAATTTACATTACAAAAGAATTAATTAATTAGAAAATTTTATTTATATTGTGTCTTTGAAAATAGATTCTTAATTTCATTTTAAGCTCACTTTTGTGCTTGTCCATTATGGAATCCACTAGCAACATGTGGCTATTTAATTTTAATTTTAAATTAATTAACATTAAATAAAACTTAAAATTTAGTTCCTCGGTCACACTAGCCACATTTCAAAGGCTCAGTAGGCACATGCGGCTAATGACTGCCATACTAGACAGCATAGGTAATGTCTCTATCACTGCAGAAAGTTCTATTGTACAGCGTTCATTTAGATTTTCAATACTTCAAATGTCTTTCAACTTATATTCAGAATCATAAACTGAAAGATTATTTAAAAGTCAAGTAATTTGGAAGTTTACAAATATTTGAGGCTATTCAGAGAACCAACTTAAAAGATTGTCACACTTCTCAACTTGCTAACTTCTATCTAACTCTCTATGTTCAGTTCAAACCCATTTTCTCCATCGAGCCCTCCACAAATGATCCTCCATCCCACTTACAGCTTCTAATTGTTTTGTATCTGCTGGTCTCACATCCTCAATTAGATTGGAATTCAAGAACATGTCTAAACAAAAACCACCACCATCATACCAAGTGCTTATTATATGGCAAGCTGCGTGATAACTGCTTTACAAATTCATCTCATGAAACACATCTCACAATCATCATATGAAGGTTTATCACCCTATTTTACAGAGAAAAGCGAGACACGGTCACACAGCTAATAAACGGCAGAGTTTCCTGGACAAAAAGTTAGGAAAACACTGAGTTCAAGTTTAAACAGTGTCATTTAACAACTGGACTTTTCAGAGCCTCCATTATATTAATGTGTGCTTTTTTTTTTTTTTTTTTTTTTTTAAAGATGACCGGTAAGGGGATCTTAACCCTCGACTTGGTGTTGTCAGCACCACGCTCAGCCAGTGAGCGAACCGGCCATCCCTATATGGGATCCGAACCCGTGGCCTTGGTGTTATCAGCACCGCACTCTACCGAGTGAGCCACAGGCCGGCCCCTTAATGTGTGCTTTGAATACGGGAGTTCTAGGGGAGGGCCGAGGGCCGCAGAGAAGAGACCACGTATTACTATTACATCTTTAGATCAAGTGTTCCAAGGAACTCAGAGACCTGTATGTGCTGCCAAGCATAAGTTTGGGCAAAAGAACTGAAAGAGAACACGATTGGGAATTCAAGGGATATAATTTTAAACTCCTGACAGAGAAGTCATTTAAATGTACTTAAGAGTTTCAGCAAAATTTAACTGATACCAGACGTATTCAAAGTTCAGTGTGTCTTCTAAAAGCCTTGCATCCAAAAAAAAAAAAAAGGAAAAAGCAGCCCAGAGTGAATTTATCAATCTTACAATCACCCAAAATCAACCATACCAAAGCTGTGTTGTAGAGAGAAAAAATGCTGTAAACCACTCTGTGACTGCATGTCACTATTTCCACAATTTAGACTACCTCCTTAGGATAGATTCTGATGGGTAGAGCTACTGCTCTACTTTTTCTTTCCAAAAGAATTATACCAATTAATCTAAATGGCCCCTAACAAAGCCTGAAATACACCAAATATGAATATATTACCTTCACCAGAACCAGGTTCCACTGTTTACATACAGATACGTTTTTGTGCATACCTATTTTTTATTAGAAAACCTAAAAACACACACTGAAAATCAAGAGACAATGTTATAGAATATGTATTCTAACTTTTAGGTAACATTACTTGAATATTCTTCCAAAGAGCATACAACACTGAAATTAATCCCCGGCCAATAAATCTCTCAGGGCTGAAGGAGAACTGGGTATAGAGTTTGGACATTCAGTAATCATTCCCCTACAATATAAATGATGAGCAATTTCAAAGCCCCAAAGGAATCATTTACAAACTGTTTCTGTGTGAGGTTTTAAAGAAAAATACCCCAGAAGGCTGACTGCTGAAAGTCACTAAACACCTAAAACCGGGAAACAGAGCCTTTTATAATAGTGAAGAGCCAGCTTCAAATAGCATCTGCCTCTTCAGTAGAAAACATAAAATCTATTCCTCCTCCTTTGAATACAATCTATTCTAAATGGAGAAAAAAGCTTCAGTACAGAAAAAGTAAGTCTGTCATTCTTTTCTTTAGAAAGATAAATGTGAAAACTGAATTACCTGCATGACACTCTAAATAAATGGTGCTGACCTGAGATAGTCATTTACATTTTAAAGCATATCCCATTTCTAACTTAAAAAATACCTGTTTCAATATTGAAATTATATCAATTACAGATGTTGCTTGCCTCAAACCTTTTCTTAATTATTACTACTTTTTAATCTAAAAATCTGGAAATGGTTTACCTCCAAAGCACTTAAGTGTCTTGCTCCATTTCTTTCTCTCTTTTTTTTCTGGCAGCTGGCCAGTTTGATGATCGAAACACTTGTCCTTGATGTTGTAAAACCACACTCACCAGCCAGCCCTGTTCTATTCATTTCTAAAACTAGAATCAAGTCATTAATTTTCTATGTGGTTATGCAACCTTAACTTTTTAAAAGACCTAAAAAATACAAAGGAGACAAGTGTACTCCCAAGTAGAAACTACTTTTGATATTAAAGACAACAGTAAATAATAAAATTCCTCACTCAGAGGTAAGTGCTCCAATAATCTCAAGTTAAAGCAATACATGAGGAAAACAGCTAATATCAAGGAAGTTTTCCTCATTACCCTTCATAAAATGCTTCCAAAAGCTCCAATTCACCCTACACTGCCACCCAGTATACTCTCCATCCATCCCCCCCTTCACCAATTCACTGATTTTTTTCCCCTCCAAAGTCTTCTTTTTCTATCATAAGCACCCACACCCTCTTCCTTCTGAGGTCTGTAAGACCTCACTTTCCTAGATCTCCTCCTTGTGAGCAAGCCAGTCCATAATGGGTTCAAGTTTAAAAAGTGTCATTTAGGGCCAAGCCCGTGGCGTGCTCGGGAGAGTGCGGCGCTGGGAGCGCAGCAGCACTCCCGCCGCGGGTTCAGGTCCTATATAGCGATGACCGGCGCGCTCACAGCGCTCACTGGCTGAGCGCGGTGCGGCCAGTCTCAAAAAAAGGACCAAAAGAAAAGTGTCATTTAACAGTTGGACTTTTCAGAGCATTTATTATATTAATGTGTGCTTTGAATATGGTGGGGGTCTAGGGTTGTGCCAAGGGCAGCAGAGAAGAGACCACCTATTACTATTACATCCTTATTTAGATCAAGTGTTCCAAGGAACTCAAAGACCTGTCTCTTCCTCCTGTCCCCTAAATGTGGAAATTGTCCATGATGTTGTCCTTGGCCCTAGTAAATAGCATTCTCCACACCACATGGATGTTCATTTCTACTCTGGGGACATCCAATGTCACTAGCAGCCCTACTTCTAACCTCTGTCCCTGCCATTCAAAATTTACTTGTGTGCTGACTCCTCAAAGCCAAGCTCTGCTTCTATTCCCACTGGAGCTCTTAACATGTTTAGACTTACTTCTGTTTATGCCTAGTCTACCTGGCTAGACAAAGAGCTCTTTATTGGCCAGGATAACGTATCTGTGGTATTCTACATACCTCTTCCTCCCCAAGGGAATAGCTCCTTTGCAATTGGTAGCTGATTAACAAATACTCATTAACAAGAATTAAAATGAGCTCGTCATCACCTGTTCTTGGTGTTACCTCTCATTTCAAAAAATAAATCTTAATCCTTAATAATATGCAATTGTCAAAAAGGCAGCAGATATAAATTACTGAGCTAGCAAAATCTCAGACAATGTTAAATATAAAGTCCAAAATGGATGGTATGTTTACGCTCACATTATATACATAGACATATATTACACATTCATGCATGTACCTGTGTGTGTTGGGGGAGGGTTCGATTTCTGAAAGATTAAACTATTATCAGTGGTTACTTCTGCCAGCAGAGCTGGGAGGCTAAGATGGGAAAGAGATTTACTTTTCCTTATATACAGAAGTTCTGTATTCCAAATTTTTGTAATGCCTGCTTTGTTCCTGCAATTGGGGATGGGGAGGGGAATGAGGAGAGAAAGAGAACAACAACGAGGAGGTAGGCAAAGAAACTAAAGGTAGCAATCAGATTTAGAAGGAACCAGATAGAAATATGGTATTTATGGGTAAGAGATATTTCCAGGAGAGATAATCAGTAGTGTCAAATGCTACAGAGATTAAGAATCAAAACTTAGTTAAACATTTAGATGTAATAAAAGGGCAGTTTCTAGTGTCCTTAGTAGTTTTTTTTTTTTCCTCCTGTGGAAAGATAAGATGAGGCAAATGTTAACATGCCTGAGGACTGACAGCTATAAAAACAAAAATGGTAAAGCCACCCCCTTTTGTTTCCCAGTACCTTTCTTCCACCCTAAAGGTAAGCACTATTACAAATTCTATGAATATTATGTATTTATTTGAATCCCTGTTTTTTAAAACTTTAATTCTACCAGGTAACTATGAAGAATAATACAGAGGGTTTTATTTTTTAGTTTACATAAATGGCATCCTACTCTGTTTTTTTGTTTGTTTGTTTTGTGAATTGCTCTTCCTACTCAAGACTGTGTTTCTGAGATTTAACTATGTTGTTATATATTGGTTATATACAACTCTACATCTATATTACACATTTCAGCTGCTGGATAATATTCCATTGTATCAATCACAATTTATAAATTCTACTGATGGGCCTTTTAAAATTACAAGATGCTACAAGCAATATCCTTGTATATGTCTCTCTATACACATGCTAGAGTTTTTCTAACTTATACACCTAAATCACACGATATGTGTTTTCAAATTGACTTGATATTGCCATATCGTTCTCCAATGTTGATAGAACGATTTTGTTTATGCCAGTATTTGAAGTGCACTATTTTCCCAAATCCTTACAAACACTTTGGTTTCTTTGACATTTTAATTT